TTACCGTCGGTGGATTGTGGGTGATTTGGTAATCCAATGTCCGCCTGTTCGATCCACAATTGTATTAGTACTAACTAACAACGGGCTGACCTACAGCTGTTGGTTGTGTTGAATCGGATGTACCCTGTGTATCCCGTCAAAGACATGATCTGCTTCTACCTCCTCTTACTCCACTTGCAGTATCTTCACCTCTTTTAGTCACTGTTGTAGAAGGTTGATTTACCGGCTCTTCATTAGAAATTAAATGTAGCGGCATCTTCCTATCCATCAGATTCCTAAAACACATGATCCTGGCAAATAATCTCCATTTTCACTATTGACATCATCTTTTGTAACATTGTCTTTATCACTTTCTGCATCTTCCTGCACAATCAGTCTAAGAGCTTCAGTTGTTGAATAACTAGCCATGTCATGTAGCATCAGATGAAATGCAAATAAAACAAAATGACTGTCATTCAAAAAAAGGTGCAACTAATAGTCAAATGTTTATTAGCAATAATAATTTTGTTGTTGTTGTATTGAAATGTTACGTAACGTTTTTTAGGGGTGCAAAATGCACCCCCAATAAAAATATTTTGGTGAAAATCAGCGCAAAATTTTTTTATAATTTGAGGCATGAAATGATAGAAAAATTGTATCTTAACAATGTCCTAGAGCATGATTGCTGTAGTTTTAATTAATAAAAATGTAGTAACCATAGAATTTGCCTTGTGCACCCCAAAAACCCATTGAGGATTAATTAAATGCCATACATTATGAATTTAATTAGTGTAATTAGTTTGCACATAGCATTCATGGTTTTTTTTAAACAACAGTTAGCAATTTCACAGTTTGTAAAGACATGTTGTTTTAACAACGCAGCCTTGTTTCTTCAGAACTTGCACGCAGATTGCCAAGACGACCGCAAGAAATCACAAGTAAAAATATTTCACTTGATTTTGTGCAATTTACCTTTGCTGTCATATTTGTGTAAAATTTCTCGAAATGGAAGAAAGTTATTTCGAAGATTCAGGATGCGATGGTAATACATCTTTTTTATTTAATAAAATCATTTGAGATAATTAGTTTTTTTAAACATATAATTAATTTAAAAAAAAATTGAACGTAACGTATTTATTTAAAAAATTATTTTTTAAAGATGCCAAAATATTTCGTAGCAAAGCAACGTCATATCTGGAAGACGTGCTTTTTCCAATTATTGGACCAGCCTTAGAAAAAGTTCTCAGGCAAGCTGAGATGGAAAAATGTTTTATTGTTAGAGTTTTACATAATCTTGGTTCATTCATACGTTTAGAATACATAACATAAACATCTGATATATGGGTTCATCTAATGGCGGATCTAGACAACTTTGATGGGGGGGTGGCAAAAATTAGAAATTGTTTACATTTTCACGGGAGGGTGCCAACATTTGCACGGGGGAGGGCCATGATTTGTGATAGTGTCAATTTTTGGTCGATTTTACACATAATACGGTCTTTTTTCTGACTTTTATTAAAAAACTGTAGTCTCCCTCCGGCCCCACCCCCCTAGATTTGCCACTTGGTTCATCATATTTTTCATTGAACTAACATACACTAATTTTAAACCCCAAATTAGAGGAAGCATTCAAAATTCTCTCCTTCTAAAAACCTAATAGAGCAATTATTTAGGTAAATGATGTTGGTAAATGTTGTTTCAAGTTAATTTCATGGCAGGTTTTTGTTATTATTTGTACTATTATTTTCGTGGCTATTTATTTTTATGGTATTTCATATGAAAATTGCCCTATCTTTTGTTAATAAATTTTACTGGAGGCAGTAGCAGCAATGACCTGTCTTAGGCAATATAACTGGTGCGAAAATATTGTCGCATTTCGGATTCGGTAGCTATTAAATAGGAGATGAGGATGCAAACACCCTTAAGTCTGAGTTCATCTCAATTTTTTGTATAATTCGTCTTCTTATTACTATGAAGCTCTGGTTGCAATAAAACTTGTGCTACAAACGTTAGTGTGTGTGTACATTGCGTATGATTGTACACGTTGTGCATCAAATTGTAGAAAATGAATAATGAATAGATTTAAATTTTTCAGTGAATTAGATATTAAAGAAGGCAAGTGTTCGTTAACACCTTTCAAAGATATTTCTCTAGTGCAAGACATTTGTCAAAATTTGGCTATAGAAATGTAATTTTTTCATTTGTTTTTATCATAGATATGGAAACTCAGATACAAAAACTGAGTTTCTGCATCTGTGAATTTAATTATTATTTCATTAAAACAGAGATATTTTTCAGACCAAACGAAGACCACCCTAACTATTTAATATGGAGTGAATTTGAAGCTATTTCTATAATACAATCATTCTGGAGAGGATTTCAAGTAAAATAAATATTAATAAAATTGATATATATATATATATATTTAATTTATATTATATTTAATATTTTTTTGATAGCGCTTTTGAGATCCTTTGAATTAGCGCTTTATTAAATTTTTCATTAATATTATATATATATATATATATATATATATATATATTTAAAAAATTCAACATTACTTTCAACATTGTTCAACTTTTTTATATTTCTTTTTATTTTATTAATTTCACTTGTATCAAATGTACAAAAAAAAGCGAGGATGAAACAGCTATCTGTGAATGGATGCTTGTGAAGGAGGAGCGTGGTTGACCAAAATCAGCTTCGAATATTTTGTATTTTGTTTGCTCACGTGAAATTAATAAAATAAAAAGAAATATAAAAAAGTTGAACAATGTTGAACGTAGTGTTGAATTTTTGAAATGTTGCGTTAACAACAGTCTGTTACCAATATATATATATATATATATATATATATATATATATATATATATATATATATGTTGGTAATAGACCATAATTTTTACAATATTCTATAAATTCTACCGAATGTTTGGCGTTAAAATGTTTGTAGTTCGTTTTTTCGATTTTTCTCACTAAAGTTTTTTGGTGAACGTTTAGTTTATTAAAATTCAAAATAAACTTATTTTTCGATGCAACAATGCTAAAATGCAACAAATTTGTTGCATTTTAAATTTAAAATGCACCATGTCTATCCAATGCATGTGCATTCATAATGTAAAGTTTCAAAAACTATTCTTTTAATTAATTATAAGCTAAAGTAGAGTGTGCGCACACCACTCCTGACTACCATTTGTTACTTATTGAGATTTTTTGCATTTAAAGATGTTTGACATACTTGTATACTTTGATGCACATTAGCTTATTTTAAATAATAAATTATAAAATAAATCATTTTTATATGTAAATTAATGTTATTGAAACATTATTTCAAGCACTCACATAATAATAGTAATAATAATAATAATGTCATTTGTTCAGCACCTTATGCATAGCATTCGAGGCCCAGGAGATATCTGATAGACATCTGCAACTTACATCTTACTTTTTAATGTAAATATAGGCACCTATGTATTGTTCTGACTATCCAACATCCTGCAATAGTATTCAGCTGGAGCCAAACGTGGCAGGATGGTAAAAAAGTCGTGAATCCGACCGTTGCAGATATCCATCAGATATCTCCTGCCTATATATATATATATATATATATATATATATGCTGGTAATAGACCATAATTTTTACAATATTCTATAAATTCTACCGAATGTTTGGCGTATTAACAAACATATAAACGCCAAAACATTCGGTAGAATTTATAGAATATTGTAAAAAAATATATATATATATACTATAAATTCTATTATATACTATGATTGGATTCTTATATGACCATTTTTAAAGTTTCGTCAAGAAAAAGAAGTTAAAGAACTAAGAAGATGGCATAAAGAATGGAGAAACATAAATGAAGAAAACCATAGAAAAATGAGCATATTCAAACCTATTGTCACCAACAATTCCGATTGTTGTGTTGATGATGCGAATAAAAAAAATGGACAAGAGTTTTGCGTAAACAATGTGCCTCCAGATGAATATAACCCCCCATTTGTAGTCTCAAATTTTGTCAATGATGTAAACTGAATTGATAATTTTTTGCTTAAAAAACAGTTACTCTTTGTGTAGACAAATTTAATTATTCTATTTAACGCGTGTGAGGCTCTAAATATATGTAGTATATATTCTATTCTGTACATACGATCGAAACCCTGTATCATGTGCCCTGTATGCATTATACCATAGATATATAAATATTCAAAATTTGATTTAAAACGATTTAGTGTCTTTGTGTACAACTTTTTGGTCTTTGCAATATTAATGGCGTTAGGTTGATTCGTTGCGACGGATCAAATTTGTTTTCAAGTGCTGGCGTGTTGAATTAACTTATATTATAAGCTTCAAATTCAGTTTTAAATTGTTATTATGGGTCGAAAGAAGAAGAAGCAAATGAAACCGTGGTGCTGGTAAGAAGGATTTGCTCTGGTTTTATTTTGTTAATTAGGAAAAAATTAGTTAGCTTCATCATTCATCTTCCGTCTTCAATCATCGATTATATGCAATCCTTAAAAATTGTCTATTCAGTATATAGATGTGATTTATAAAATGTGTGAATTAAAATGTCTTTGAAACCTCTACTAGCTTGTTGAAGTTAATTCATTGTTGAATTCTGCATTGATAAGGGATGGCCAATGCCAATATGAATCAAAATACAATAGTGTCAAAGCACTATGCATTTTTTTATTACACACTAAAATGAGCCTGGATTGTGTCGCGTGATGTGATAATAGTTATCTGGATTTTGTTTTGCTTGAACGACATGGTTAACAGGTTAAAGTTGCCTGGTGTTGTTTTGCAGTGGCTGGGTTCAATTCAAATATGACAAAAAGGTTCCTGTCTATTACATGCTTTGTGTGTGATGCATTGTTTAGCATGTATTCATATGTCATGTTTTTAGTGTATTGGTTGTTCTTTTGAACCTAGGAGTGTAATTCATAATAGAATTAATCAATCTTCGTTTAGCATTCCCAGTTCCCCTGAGGTAGTACGTTGTTTTCTTTTGTCATCAATTTTCTGCGCCAAATTAGACGATCAGATGTACCCATTTCATTTAAATTTAGAGCTCAGACGGTGTTGCCGGCATTCGTCCTTTATATCATCTAAACCAGCATGATGCAGGATTTCAGTAGATTTGATGTGGTCTTTAAGACTAATTCGTTGCATCCATCAGAGCATTTTCATATCTGTTCGTTGAAGTTGTTCCAGTTTGGTCGTCATTGGACATGTTTCTGCACCATATAACAACACCGGACGTATCACAGATTTATAAAGTCTTGATCATAGTGGTAGTGGGATGCCATTTATTCCAGGCTGCACTTATGCATGCTCAAACGGCAGTTTCAGCTATTCCAGTACAATCTAGAACATCTCCTAGATATTAAAACGATGTGACTTTCTCTACCTTAATGGCTTCAAAAACATTACTATTTTGAATTTGTTGTTGTGGATTGGTGCAAGCAGGACGAACAAAATTGGACACTTTTGATAAAGTACCAATTATTATGAACAATGTTTGTGACACCACCGGTTAGGTGGTTAATTTGGTTAATTAACCACTGGTTAATTTGTAATAGACCTTTTTTCAAATATTTTTTTGTTCCAGTTTTCATTTAGTTTTACCAAAATTTTTAATTTCTGTTTCATTTTTTAAAAATTATTTAGTTTAAGTTTTTAAATTGTTTTATAAATACTTTGTTTTCGTTTTAAAAAAATACAACCCACTTTGTATTTAAAACAAGTTAGAAGATTATGAAATGTACCTATAAAATATACAAAAGTTATAAACTTCATTTATCATAAAGCTGTTCATTTAAAAAAATTCTTTTTCAAAATTTTTACCTGTTTGGTTTCCTCTGCCTGATGTATTTAGTGAACATTGAGAAAATGTTTTTTCAACGAAAGCAACAAGAGCTCAAATTAGTGCTCTATCACTGGTTATTCTTGGTTTTTGACAACCAAAAATTTATGATCCATTTTCTGTATCTAAGGTATTATGATTATATCCTGTACTCCGATATCCAGGGTAAGCTCCCATTCTGTTTCAGTGACAGAAGTTTCTTTTTTATTTTCTAATTTATTTTAAATTGGTGCTTACCACTTTATTTTACATTCATCATCATTTTCAATGTAACAGTTGAAATAATTCATGAACTAAGAGACTAGCAGTCCCTATGTTGAGCTGTGAGTGAGGCTGTATTTGAGTTTTAAAATATTTGAATTTTTGTTATTAAGAAATACATACTGGAGTCTATTGAGCTTTAAAGTCATGTAAACAATTTTTCCCAAAAGCCATGACATTTTTATTTCCAACCCTAACTTGTAATTAATCACATAAGCATTTACAATATATATATATATATATATATATATATATATATATAATATATATATATATATATACAGTTGTTCAAAAAATCCACTGACGATTCAGCATTAACAAGTTTTATGGTTGATTTTCTAATATTTTGAACTAGTTCTTTACAATTAAGTCTATTCAAAATGTTGAAATCCATTTTATAATCGTTTATGATTTTAATTGTTAAAATTAATCAAGCAAGATCCCATTTTTATAATCGTTTATTTTTTATATTATTATTAAAGTTATGCATATAGATCTATTTCGACGTAAAGTCATCATCAGTGCAATATATATTTTAAATAAATTCTATTAATAGTTAATTAGTTGTATTTTTTAATATATTAAAATAAAATAAAAGTAACGAAATAAAAACGCAAAGGTTCATTGAAATTAGTAAACAAAATATTTGAAATTATACGATTGTTCATACTACGTGGCCGTTGTCAAGATGGCAACCAACAATGTCACAAATTTGAAGCGCGAAATTAATTAGAATATCGTTTCTATTATTATTATTAATATTATTAATTATTATTATTATTATTATTATTATTATCATCATCATCATCATCATCATTACCATTATTATTATTGTTGTTGTAGTTGTTGTTCTTTTTATTGTTGCTGTTGTTGTTGCTATCGTTGTTTGTATTGTTGTTGTCGTCGTCATCATTGTTATTAAAAGTATTATTATTATTATTATTATTATTATTATTATTATTATTATTATTATTATCGATGACGTTAAAATTATTAGCAACAATGTTGACGTTGTTAATTAATCTATGCATAGGGAGAGTTGTTTTAATTTGTTGTTGGTTGTTCAATGTAGGTTTTTGCATTTCTATTAGAATGGCTTCAGCGAGTTTAAGATTTTGATATTGTTGGGTACTATAGATGATGGTTGTGTTGTCATTTAGTATACCTCTGGTGATTGTTGTGTTGAGTTTGTCAAGGAGATGGGTTTTAATGGCACCTTCTCTCTTATGCATTGTCAATCTCCGTGATAAATCCGTGGTAGTCATGCCGATATATGATGATTTTAGACGCATACAATCGTCAACTGGACAGGAAAATTTATATACAAACATCCATATATATATATATAAAGATACCTCATGTTAATTCTTTATCATTCAGTCTTAAATGAGTCTATTATACAGCTCCAAAACAGCTACTTCTTTAGAACGACCTTAATAATTGCAAGAGAAGTTATTAAATTTAATTAGAAATGAAGTCACACCTTGTATTATGAAAATTTAATGTTTATGAATTTGTGTAATCAATGTGAAAGATGCCAAATTAAAGAATAGATTTGTCCTTGCAACGATTTCTTTACTGCTTGCAAATATTTTCCACTATTTGGTTTGGTTATTATGACTGATATCAAGTTCAAAATGTTTAAAATGGCTGCACAGCTGTTTGTTCTGGCTTGCATGCTCATATTTGATTTAAAATTTTGTGAAGGTACTGTAACAGAGAATTTGATGATGAAAAGATATTAATACAGCATCAGAAAGCGAAACATTTTAAGTGTCACATATGCCACAGAAGGCTGTACACGGGACCAGGTTTGGCAATTCATTGTATGCAGGTATAACCTTTTTGGCATTAATTTATGCTTGAGACAATAAACTATATAATGGTTAAATAAACAATATAATGGTTATTATTGAATGCAGGTGCACAAAGAGCCTATAGATAAAATCCCAAATGCACTACCCAATCGTAACAACACTCAGCTAGAAATTTATGGCATTGAAGGAATACCTGAAGAGGATATGAAGGAACATGAACGCAGGAAGAACAACAGAGGTTGCTTGAACACATTTATATATATATGTGTATGTGTTTGAGTTTGTGTGTATGTGACATATGTATGTTTATTTATTTATGATACAGAAACCCAAAAGAATGCTTATTGGGTCACTGAAGAATTAACTGAATACAAATATTGCAGAACTGAAGTTAGAGTAACAGTTTACAAATATTTGTAAATTGTCAACTAAATTAACTAGGATTGTTATTTTTTATGAAAATACATAAAGGCATCTCACATTAGCAAAATATGTAAAATGGGTAAAAATTAGAAATACAGATAGGATATATTTCTTGACAGTTTTCCAATTTATAACTCATAATATAGAATGACAAATTTTCTGAGGCCTAATGCCTTTAAAAAGGGTTGCTAAATTTTAAAATATGATAAACATTATAATAAAACATAGTGTAGGAGTCAGAATTTTTGATGATGATTTGTCGTCTGATTCTGATACTCTGTAAATAAAGTAGCATTTTTAATGAATAGAATAATTTTATATTCTTTCATACTTTTCTAATTAGCAAATTTTGCAGCCTCTGGATCAAATTTCAATTTGCGCAAAATAAAAAGAGTTAACCAGTAGCACACTTATTTTTTTAAATGTAAAAAATTAATGTATTATTTAATCATGTCAAAATTTTGAATATAAAATAATACAATTCTTGAAAACTTTTTGTAACAATTTAAAGTTTCAGTGTGCCAAACATAAATAATAATTTGTATTGTTGTTGCAAGTGACATTAAATTATAATTGTCAGAAGAGCATTCTCAAGGACAAAATCCTGCGACAAATTTGTTGCATTTTAAATTTAAAATGCACCATGTCTATCCAATGCATGTGCATTCATAATGTAAAGCTTCAAAAACTATTCTTTCAATTAATTATAAGCTAAAGTAGAGTGTGCGCACACCACTCCTGACTACCATTTGTTACTTATTGAGATTTTTTGCATTTAAAGGTGTTTGACATACTTGTATACTTTGATGCACATTAGCTTATTTTAAATAATAAATTATAAAATAAATCATTTTTATATGTAAATTAATGTTATTGAAACATTATTTCAAGCACTCACATAATAATAGTAATAATAATAATAATGTCATTTGTTCAGCACCTTATGCATAGCATTCGAGGCCCAGGAGATATCTGATAGACATCTGCAACTTACATCTTACTTTTTAATATAAATATAGGCACCGATGTATTGTTCTGACTATCCAACATCCTGCAATAGTATTCAGCTGGAGCCAAACGTGGCAGGATGGTAAAAAAGTCGTGAATCCGACCGTTGCAGATCTCCATCAGATATCTCCTGCCTGCTTTGAATTGTTGCCTAAATTTATCTCGTTGCAGTCGGATTTTTTTGCCACAAGGATTTGCTCTCGTATCACTGCAATCTCTTATATTTTATCAAAGTTTCTGCTACAAAATTTTAAATGTTCTCAAAATTCATATGCAATTGTTATTCATTTGTGTATTTTACCGATATGACTTATCAATATCAAATGCATAGGTTATTTATTTTTTGTTGTAACAATCATGAAAATCTGTTAAACATACAGATGAATGTTAATTTTTTTATTCAGGAAATGATGCAGATACAGGATCCAATGACAAAGGTAGATAGACAGGTATATTTTTTTGTTACCAATTCAACACTAAGTATTCATCTCGTTTAATTAAGATTCAGAAAGTGAGGATGACAGGTCATCATCAACATCATCATCATCAGTGCAGCCACCAGCTCCTCAAGCAGGCGGCATAATGCCCCCAGGAGTAATGCCCCCTATGATTCCTCCAATAATGCCTCCTATATTACCATTCTGTAAGTTCTTCATAGTACAATACACATAATTATATTGCTGATAATTATTGCATTTTCTACTTGAAATACTAATTATGATTCTTTTCCTACTCCAGCACAAGTTCCGTTCATGAGACTGTAAGTTTATTAGTTTATTTTTTCTTTTAATTTTTTGAGTACACGTAATTTGAAAAAGTTTTATAAATATTGGCAATAACATTTATGCCTACGCCACTTTATGATAACTGGTGATTTTTGATTTAAATTTTTTAGTCATTTTATAATGGTTTGTTTTGAAAATTTTGCAGCGGTTTGCAAATGATGCCTCCTATTTTCCCGCCAATGCAGTTACCTCCATCTACGAACACTCCGTTTCCCCCAATTAATATGAATGCTCCAGCACCACGACCACCAGTTACCACACAACCACCTCCCACTCAAATGCTCTTCCCTGCTGCTGCCAATATTCAGGTTAGCTGAAAATATCTGTCGAAATGTAATGGAGATATAGTGACTGGTTTTTCATTGTTATAGGGCGTTAACAACAGTGCAGCACCTGCTTTAGAAACAGTAGAAACATCATCAGACAACAAATCAGCAACTGTGCCGCATCACCCATTCCCACATCAACCACCAGCTCAACAATTTGCAGCTAGCGACAATGTAACTATTAACAGCCAAAGGAAAGATGAAGATAATGATGACGAAGTGACAAAAGTTGACTTTGTTTCTACAGCTACTTGTCAATTGGTTCATCCAGAAGACGATCTTTCATTGGTTTGCCTGCTTGCTTCGTTTTGATGATGTTTATCTCTTTACGTTTATATTTTCATTCCTTTGCTTTCTTTCTCTCTCTCTCTGTCATTGTAATAATTTTTTCATTCAGATGTGTTGAGATTTCATTAAATTATTTCCTTGCACTTTCCACCTCATAATTTGTAACTGTTTGAAAATTTTAGGAAGAACTACGGGCAAAGATGCCAAAATATCAATTGAATACAAATATTGAAGTAAAGAAGCTTCCACAAGCTGCTCCGCAGGCGCCTCCACAAATGCCGAGCAATCCCCCTATGGTGCCACCAACAGTTCTCAGCAACACACCAGGTTTGCTTATAACTTAAACCATTTCAATAACATTTTTTACGTTTGGGTGATAACTACACCAGAAATTAGTTTAATGATCAGAGTATATGCGACTGTTAAGTTAATTTTTTACCTCTTATTAACGAATAGGCATGTTTGCTGGTCCAATGTTCATGCCCCCAAACCAGATGACCCCTTTCAACAGGCCGCCATTATTACCCAACCAAATGAACTTCAACCCATCCTTTTAATAACTTTTATAAGCTTGTTTCATGTTTACTTAGGACAGTTGTTGATTTGCAATTTTCATTAAATTTTTTTAACTATATTGTGGGTTGATTAAACGAGCCAACATACGATTTTTAAATATATTTGTTTAAATCTGAAAAATTATCACAATAGAAAGGACTGAATATGTTGAATAAAATTGCAGAGCACTTTGTGGTTTGTAAAATCATTAACCAATCCAATAAATCTAAGGTTGGCTGCTTTGTATCTTCTGACGACGTTCAGTCGCTCATAGGTTTTCAACGAGTTATTCATTGTTTCCATACTTATGCTTTCACCTGGTCAAAACATTAACAATCAAATTAATCAATTAACCTTTTTAACTATTTTTGCTTATAATGAGAACTTGATAAAAAATGAAATCAGCCAAGCAGGCGCTGATGTAATGGGCGGAGGACGATCCAACTCGCAATTATTCGAAATTTGGTAATGAAAAAGCTAAATGTAAAACGGTAGGCTCCAATGCCTCTCAATTCGTGTAAATGAACGTGTAGGAAGGTGGCGAAGCTTTAATTCATGAAACAGGAAAAGCACAACTGAAAAAACAATTAGATTTGATTACCGTAAAATGATTGCCTGTGTGTCAATCTTTGTGACATGTCGTTTCTCACATTCTTTATAAATTCTGATTCTAAAAAAATTGCGAAATGATTGAATTTGATTATTTTCAACAGAAAACATTGAAAAATAATTACCAATGGCGTCCTCATTGATGAGATTAATGAAATTCATGGCGACTACGCAATAGCATTCAATTGTAGGGTTCAGTGCTTTTTTTAATTCGAGCAACCGTTCCATTTTCATGTTGTTCACCTAGGGTAAGTCAAAAGTATCAAAAAATCAGTAAAATTGAGCAAATAAAATTGATAAAATAGGAAAAAACGTCTGTATGTCAGCTTTAGACTACGCCATTTTTCAAGATATGGAACGAGTTTTCGGAGATGGAGTGATTTTTTTGTTTCAACAATTTCACCATGGTTCGTTTTGCATGCGTCTTTGCATCTAGCATGTATGTACGCGTACATGTTTGTGTTAGGCTTAAAGTAACTAAACAGAAGGCACTGATGTGGAATAAGTTTTTTGATTATGCTATATGACACCGTTAATATCAAATCAGTTGGTAGATTTATTAAATTTGGAAATTCAGTAGTTAAACGTTTTGCTTTTGACTAGAGTTAATGTACTCCAATCCACCAAAATAATCTATTCGAAAGAAATAATATCTAACATCTGGTTCAACTAACGACGTAACAAATTCCACGACAACCAGATATGTTCCATGCTATTTTGAAGGGCTCATTATCAATTTGGTATAAGATTAAATAATAAGAATTTTTTAAGGTACCGAAGATATAAGGACTGTCGAAAATCAAGCAAAATTTTACATTGACTAATAAAACACAAAAAATAAATTAATCATGATGTTTATTCAGTTTTAAAAACGCCGATGTATTTAAAAAATTTTAAATAAACCTGATAAACTTCGAAATGATCTTCCTTGTAAGTATATTCACATTCCTCTTCCCCTTCCAAATACATAGCCATCCTCATACATCTCTCCTTAGTCGATTGTTCATCTTCCATCTCTTCAAAATCTTCAGCCTGTCAGGAAATCATTTGAAAGAGATTTTACAATTTCCGTAGCGCATTTCTTATGCATGTTGTTCTCATATTTGTCAACGATCAACAATAATTTTGGTAAGATAATTCATTAGACTGGTAGAGTTGTGTAATACAGGAAATGATGGAGTTATATATTAATCATAAAAAAAAGAAAATAAAATATACTCGTGACAATACTTTTGTGAAAAAATAAATAACAAATGACAATGCAAGCAAAACTTGAAAAAAAAATTCAAAATTAATGCTTTGCTGAACGTAGAAAACAGCGTGACCAGAATGATAAGACGAAGTTTGAGATGATTAAAAATTTTATGAGCATAAATTTTAGAAAAGGAGATTTCTCTACTAACAAAATGCAGATCTATTTTAATACTTAACAAAATGAATAAAAACAAATATAAAAACCAGATAATAAAAATTGTGAAACAAAACGTTCGATAGACAAAGAGTATACTTAAGATGTGAACAAATTTCGCTGTGAACAAATACACGCTGTTTCATTATGACCTGGCTCCGCTACACAACATCCCAAACATCTGTCTTAAATCTGTAGCCAAAAATTGTATTCGTTTCAAGTCTCAACAGCTTACCATCGTCATATCTTACTGTCACCCACTCAACTAATCAACGCATCAGACGCTAGATTATTCCACTTTTCCTATATATATTTTTAGAAATTTTAATGTGAGTTAGAATCAACGTGAAAAAAATTCCGTTTCGATAACTTCATTTCTTATAAATTTCGACCTCAGCCAGATTTAACTACTCATCTAACAACAACGTCATCATTAACAATTGCAATATTCTTACAAGCATATTTCATCTCATCAATGAGGGGTTGTTATAGCAAATTTTTTGACCACTTACGGATTTTCCGTCCGCTATGCATTAATGGGTTAACAAGAAATGATACAAAATGTTTATCAGTTTTAGTCAAAAAGTTGTCCTTCATAGATGTTGCTCAATTTATAAAAATTTTGTTTTAAATAAACTGTGATTTTGTGGTTAACGATAGTGGTGTCAATAGTTGCCTGTTGAATTTTCTTAATTTCTTCATAAAAAAAAAACAATCGAAAAAAGCTCTAAATTGAAATCTCTTTTCGGTTCAAAATTAAAAAAAAACTTTGACGAATGACTGACTACCCTTTTGAGTTTCTTTAAAAAAACCTATTTCTAAGCATATTAATGATAGACTACATATAGGCTTACCATAAAATAATTCAAAACACATTACACCACATTTTTTAACAATATTTTTTAACAATTTATCTTGATTGTTTAACTGTGTTTCTGTTTCATAACTGTTATTTTCTGCTATTAATTTATATTTGTTCATTTTAAATTTCGGTCGTAAAATGTCCACGGAAGTCTTCATGAGACTCGCTCAGCTTGTTTGGTTTCCGAAAATCAACAGCGCTTTGGTTGGTTTTGAAAGAACAAAAAGTAACAAACTTTTTTATGAAAGAAGTCATTGCTCAGCATGTTAGAGAAAGTTGCTTTCAAGGACGATTCGAGACTGGAGCATGGCTGAAGATTATTACTCGAATTAATTAATTAACATATAAAAATAAACAAACAAACAACCAATGAACACATAAATAAATAAATTAATTTATTAATCAATAGCAGCATTAAAAAATATAAATGAAAGATAACGCGATTTGAAGAAACAAAAATAGTGAGTAACCAATGACTTACAGCAAAGAAGATGAACTCATTTTGTAGAAGCGATGCCATCAGAGTAGCCTCTTCCAATACTTCGTCCTTATTAAATTGAATGACCTCACTATCTGTCGGCACGTTCATTACATTTTGCCTACCAACTAGACATATGACGTGCGCTGTATTAGAAAGCAAATACCATATCATGTTAAATGCCAGTTTATTTTAAGTTGTATTTTAATTAAAGTTGTGGTATCGTTAACATTCAACAGCCACGGGGCCTTAACAAGTTTAATACAAAATGCTACAAATTCTGGAAACTCTTCTTTTATTAAAATTGTTGTAAACTCGAATATTGAAAAAAAACGCTGGCTTCTGTTTAAATTTTTTTCAAAAACTATTTCATTTGCATTTGGTTATTTTTTATACTGCATATATATGATTATAAAAATAGAAAACATATTTTGTTTTTAAAAATAAAAACAAACAAAACATAGTCCAGAAAGCAGTTAATGACTAACCAAGAACACACTGAGAAGCAAGAAGCATGATGACTGTGCTGGCGTAATATGAAAGTTCAATGTGGGTCTCCGTTGAGCTGTTTATGCTGATGACGCCACTGTTGATATCCCTACATTTGTTCATTGGTGAATGAAGAAGCATATACTCAAGTGTTGGTCGTTAGCTTAACGATGAGATAGCAGCATCAACACATAATTGAAACATTGAGCAGCTTACAAAACAAGCCATAACAATTCGCCAATAAATTATCACCTATTAGAATTTAATATCATTAATTGTTGATCGTTTAACTGAAACCTCTATTTAAGGTTTGAGGTTTTTGCAAGTTTTTTACTAAGGTTTCGTATTATAACTTTTAAAATGATGACTTTAATAATCTCTTCTCATACATTACAGAGATATCATTTGTCGCATATATTATCAAGTTATAAGTTATCAAGTTACTTGGTCACTTGATGAGGTGGGAAAAAATTGAATGAGAAAAGAATTCAAGAGAAAGTTACTTGGACATAACACCAATGAATTTAAGATAAATTAATCCTTAATTCAAAAAGTTCATTCTCGCAAATGAATAGAGTGCGTGGAAGCAAAAATAGTTGATTTTCAAAATGTGACGAGGTGTTGTGAGTGTCAACTCGGACAGCGGTGTTGCCTGTTTTAGATGCCGAGAAATCTGGAAAAAACGTCCGTCTGGTTATTTCATCAGGAAATATGGAAAAACTTACTTAAAAAATATTTTTTAAGCATGCAACTATACCGCAAAAATTGGTTGAAAAGCAAAACCAATTTCCGTTGCGTTACGTACGAAAACTAACTGTTGGTTATAACTAGGTTATTGAATATCTCGATTCCAGAATAATACAGTTGCAAAATTCGAAAAAAGTCTAAACAATTTTTAATTAATATTTTTATGGTGCCCATAAATCAAAAATGTTTTCAAACGTTTGTGTAAATAAAATTTCATATACTGCAATTTAGCATTTAAATACTGCAATTCTTTATACAATCTTAGTGAAAATTTCAATGTCGAATGTTTGACGGTATAGTATTTATCGTTTTTCGATTATGAACATCAAACGGAGCCAAAAACAGAGTTTGTCTTTTTGAATTCGTGAATTAAACTCTATTTTTTTTCATGTTTCGAGAGAGGATAATATATAGTTTATCTAATTATATGAATATTGGTATTATTTGGTAAATATTACAAATAAAAAAGGTAACATCTTCATATAAAGTGTAAATAAACTGCAAGTAAAATGCACCAAATACCCAATAAACTGGAGAAGATGCAAGCCGAGCAGATGGACAGCGTGCAGTACAACGTCTCCGTCGTCGCCAGAGAAACTCATGCAGTGACCAAGGTCCAATAAATACTCCTTGTATTCAGAAAACTTTTTCACGCATTCATCCAGATTTATGCTCTGATGTGAATTAAATTACGTGAATATCGTATAAGGCGTCGAAAAACAACAAATGAGGTAAAGAGGTGCTTATGTTGGTAGAATATATGACACTACAATCAAATTACTCCATGTATTACAATTAGTCAATTAGCCTCATAACGACAATATTGTAACATCATTGTAACAATTGTTGTATCGAATAAAAAATCATTACATCACGCACAAAATGACCACGTCATCAAAATAATGACCACGTCATCGTGAAAACATCTATGACGCCACCTTTTTGTTGCTGATGAGAAGGACAAAAGTTAAAAGGTGTGTGGACGATACCGAATGTATCCTGCATTGATCTGGTCAGCGGTGTTGTTGTTGTTGGTATGAGATAACAAAACGAATAACAATGGAGAGAATGCAATAATCAAAATAATATTACAAAAGCTGATAATAACAACACGTTAATAACGATGAATTGCCAACCATGCGATATGTGCTGAGCCAAATCGTAAACTAGAGATCTAATGTTAGCGTCATCCTTATCGTAAGCATTAAGGTTGACGCCACTCAGCTCACAATTATCACTGCTATTGATGCAATCGCCAGAAGCTTTCAGAACTTTTTTCCTGCCACTGTAATAGTTTTCCTCGTCGTCATTCACATCTCCATCACAACTATCCAGCCTCAGTTTATAATTCTCGACAAACTCCTAAAATGCAAAAAAAAACAAGCTTATTGGTTTCAAGTACACTAAATTATTTTCAGATATACAACGCCATCTAAACAAGAGCTAATGTTATTTAAAACAATTAAAATTGCTTTCTATAAGAAAAAGAAACAAAAAACAATGATGACGATGATGATGATGATGGTGGTGGATGAGATCAGGCGAACTTGACCTTCAATGAAAACGGCTGAGCGACATCAACCCTGACGGAGCCGTGAGAATGCTGGAGACACTTGAAGACCGCCAGCAAGGCGCTTGTGAACGTTTCCTTCTCCTTCCCGCCCCCCTGTTTTTGTTTCATCACTTTCATCACAACCATCTTCCTCTTCAACATCATCACTGTCATCCTCAATACCACGAGCAATGTTTTCCATTGCCAACATCATGGCCATCGTTGGTATTTAAAGATTAATATAAATAAAAATAGCTGTTATTATATCAATACCTAATACGTTTACTATAATCAGGGAGTCGAACCCAATAAAAATTTATTCAGTCTCCTGACGACTGTGCAAAGTTGTTGCACATCTGAGCGTCATCATTTCATCCCATCCGACCGCTGTTTGAATAAACAAAGAGCTCCCCATCAACTATCGTTTTTATTTATCTGACGACAGTTTGAAGCAACCAATCATGGTAGGAAGCGACTCACACATGTTACAAACCAGAAACACACTAGCAGTTGAGTTAACCCAGACATTAGAAGTACATTATGTCAGATTTCTTTCTCAAGACAAAATGACGGGTTGATTTCAAAATACTCTTACTGAACAGAAAAACATAATATTCGATAGAAAAGAAATGCAATGTCTATATACAATGTTAATAACTCAAACTTTCAACGTTCACTTATAACAATATAACGCCAAATAACGCAACGTAACCAGCTTAAACACTAAACAATTAATGTAACCTTCGTAAAGCAATGCATTTCACGAAATCACAACCATAACGTCCATTAAACGAATTCTCAACGTCAATCCAAAACGAACTCCGAAAATTTCAAAGAGACCACACTAACGACAATTCACTTGAAACACTGCATTCTACTCGTTTAACTTGCAGACATACATTCCAAAACAACAACCTGCACGGCTGTCCATTACACTCACAGCTGGACATTTTACACAACATTCTTATATGCACTCATACCAAAATCATTCAAGTCCATATTTTACATGTGTATAAAAATTGTATCAGGTGTCTGGGTAAAGGAACATAAAACAATTGGATGAAAAATATTAATGAAAGTGAAGGGTGAACAAAGTTAAAAACACTAACCATCTGCTCATGAACAAAATCTCCTTCAACCAGCTTTTCGTAGCACAAAGAGATAGGGACAATGTAGCAATCATCGATAAGACCTGCAAGTTTGTTGAACGTTCTTACGTAGTTTACATTTTGTCTAGACGTTACAGTTATGAAGAGGTATCTTATAAATAGCAGCAAGTAGTAACAAATCAGCATCTCGCCTTCCCACCATTCAAGTTTCCCATTCATAAGATGCATTCAAGATTCAAGATTAGGAAGTTGCGTATCGGTAGAAAATTAAAATTTGTAAAAACAACAACTCAAAAAAGACATCCTCAACGAAAGCAGACCTTGCAGATAAGCATCAACAACAATGGACAAAAGTCCAGTTTTTGGCGTCAACACTTTTCCACTTCTTGACCTGCCCCCTTCGATGTAGAACTCCACTATTTCGTTCATCTTCAACAGCTCATTCATGTACTGCAGTGCATTCATTTTTTTAATATTTTAATAATAAATCAATAATAATCTAACAATAAATTGATGATATATAAATACTTCAATGATATTAATAACATTAACGTTGATAACAGAAATTAAAGTCTGATGATAAGTAATATTATAAATAAGTTTATTTTTAATCCTTAGTTAACTCAATCAAATGCAAAGCTGCGAAAAAGAGATGCTGAGAGCAGTTTAAAAAAATAAGGTGACTCCATCATTAAATAGAAAGTGGATTGAATGTGCAGTCGATCAGATCTCCTCTGTGGAGCAACAAATCAATGTCAGTTGGTTGGTTGGTTGTACAAATGATTAGCCAATGAAAGTCACAAGAGTGACATGGAGCACAACTTGCGTAGTAAGTGATAAACACGAGAAGTGTGAGAACGTGCTTACTGACAGCACAGATCAGGGCTCTGTACAAATAATCCTTCCGGTCATCCTCATCATCCATCTTCCTCCTTATGAAGAAGCCACCAAGTGATCTCATCAAAAACCTGTTAGTATTATCGTCATCATCTTCATCTTCCTTGCAATCATCATAGTCATTATCATCATCCTCATTGCAATTTATGAAATCATCATTGTTATATACATCATCATTATCATCACTGTTATATACATCATCATCATCATCATTACTGTTATTTATATCTTTATTATAGATGTTGCACATTGCAATAATTGTTTGCCACTAAAAAAGACAGCAACAAATTATTCAACGTTGAAGCAAATTATTCAGTGACGATGATATTATTCAGAGTTGAAGCAGCATCAATAACATTGATACCTCTTTTTCATCACATTGATACTACATTATATTATCATGCGTAATACCATTATATCCTTCATCACAACCAATTTTTTAATGATGGCAGAAAATAAGTTTTAAAAAATATAAACAGAAGAAAATTACTAAACATTGAACAGCAAGCAGAACCTGAAAAGTGGCAGTGTGAGATTGTCCCCGGCAGCAACGTGTGGTAGCTTGATATAGAAGTTGAAGAGCAGGAAGGAGAGGATGATGTAGTCGAGGTGGCTCTTGTGCGTCGGCAGCAAAATGATGGGCTTGTTCCTCTGCTCGTTCGCGGTTGTTGTTGTTTCCACATCATCATCAACAACATCATCACCACCACCAACAACATTATCATCAACATCATCATCGTCTTGATCATTTACATTCTGTCACAACCTTGGCAATCCTGTGCAGCACACCCATCTGCCCCTTGTGAGCCATGACTGAAGTGAACAACGTCCTCAACAGCTTAAACAGAAACCAACCCGTAAACCTGTTGTTGTTTTTTGTGTTTGTATATGTACGTATGCGTGCGTGTGTGTGTGTGTGGGCATATATGTTTGTGTGTCAAAATCAGCTGTGTGTTATGGCTGATCTGTTGATTAGTATTTGTGTTTGCTCGAAGCATCAGGTCACTCTTATGGTATACAGATTGTGTTGATAGAATGAGGACGATGTCGGACATTAGACAGGTCCTGGAACTAACTAGGTGGTAAGAGGGCACGTGCCCTGAACGTCAACAGTATTTGTATGTGTTGCATGTTCATGTGGTGGGTGTTTGTGAATATTTGATGTTAAATAGGTTACATATTCAATTGTTTTGTTAAATGAAATAAGAAAAATACCTGATGATGCAAATAGAAAATGACGATGCCATCTTGTCTATTAGGCCGGCTGCTTTTTTCTCATACTTTTTATGAATATTATCTCTGTCATCTTCATCTGCAGTCGAAACAATAAATGCATCGCTTCAGTTTATTTTTTTTTGTATAGTTTTTTTTATTATTATTTAAGTATTATTTATACAGCAGCCTGTAAATTATATCACATCCATTAATGTATAATAAATAAAAACCTCTGTGGTACATTTCAATGGACTTGTCGATAGCTCTTGCTAAGCTGTGTGCAATTTGTAATTAAATTTATAAAACTACCATAAAACGTTGAATATACCATAACATACCATAGAATATTCATAAAACCAGCACAGAGAAGAATATTTTTTTATTTTTTTCATTAAATTCCTAAAAAATCATGAACATTGACATCCACATAAATTAAATGAAATGAGAAAATGGAAGAGAACTTTTTATGCTGCAGAACGATTGAGTTAACGTTTGGGTGATGTTTGTTGATCCATTGTTTCCACACATACTCAAAGTCACTCTGCAGTCTTCGATTCGTTGCATCGGCATTTTAAAAAATAATTACCAATTGAGAATGTTTGATTGGAAGAAATTGTTATGAACTGAATGACAATATGACAACAGCATGATGTGATATTATTGGAATGGAGGTAATTATTGCTAAAAATGTTTAAATTAATGAGTTGACAGTTTGTGGAATTAATTTAAATACTTAAAAAAAAAATGAATGACAAAATAATAAATAAATAAATGAGTGAATAAGTGAATGAGTGAGTGAATGAATGAATAAATGAATGAATAAATGAATGAATTAGTTAATTAATTGATTGATTAATAAAAAATGTAAAAGCTAAAAAACTCTACCTTATCGTTGGTAGTCTGCAGATGTTGACGATGCCCAGATTACAAATGTCTCTGTTCACTAACTGTTTCTGAGCAATCGTTCAGTAAATAGCAATTTAACTTATAATCAGTAACTAATTTATTCATTCAAACATCATTTCAGTAGAAACACTGTGAATTTTGGTGCATCTAAAACTGCATAGAAATGTCACACACACACACGTGCGCGCGCGCACAAACAAGCACACAGAAACATGCATCCCATCCTATCCCACTTTAATACGTTGACCATCTAAAATTCATTTTTCAATTTTGAGGCTTTGAAAACTTTCACTGTAACTCAGCTGAAATGATTACTTCAAATGTAATCATAAGTCAATTTTAATCACTATTCAATTCTGATCCCAATAACTGATTTTTGATAATCACTCATTTGCAGTCATTGCCCACTGAATCATTCAAACCTGATTAGATGGCTAGCAGGAAGATGATAATTTGTAGGCAATATTTGTATGGCCAGTGAGCACTGATATATAGACAAAGGTATCATAACAATTTTACATTTACACAACATTAACAACAATAAAAATAATTAAAATGATTGTACCTGGCTATGTGGCAAGCATGAGCATGCCAGCCAGTTGGCAGGTCTGTTTGCTGGAGAGGCAGATGAAGATGATTTTTCTGAGGAAGGATTGTACAGGAGCAAGTCATTCCCAAACATTGAGGAATGCTAACGCATGAAACAATCAAATACTAATTAATATAATAAAAAAAGGTTATAAAAAATAATAATTGAAGAATGAAAGAATAAGGAAAATCTTTACTATAAAAAATTTTCTATGAGGCATAATCTGTCTTCACAATAAATAAATGCTGGGCAATATTTTGGTCAATTATTAATTAAAAACAGGTGCAAAACAAAACATGAAAATAAAATAATTAATAATTATTTAAGAGCTGTGCAGCAGGAAATGCAGAAATTGGTGACAAGTGCATGTTTGGAAAATAAATTATTCTTTGGATGCAGAACAAAAGCTTGCAACAGTGAAATTGGGGTAATACCAGCTTAACATGAATTTGAAATAAAAATCTTTGGACATCTTCTCTAACAACACCAAACTACAACATTGGCATTATATGAATGCATTTGTGAATCTTTAATAAAAAGTGATAAACCAAAAAAAAACTTCAACGAAATTATGTGAACTAGATGTCGAAAACAATTTGCTTAAAATATAATATGGACATCGTTGATCACACATGTGTATAGTATAGAGCACAAAAGAAAGGACAAGACCTGATGTTTGTAGTTCAGACAACCTTATACTTTAATACTTGAAAGAATTTTTTGTGTGAGTAAGATAAATGCAAAGTATTCAGCACACAATAAACTAGCTTTTCTATTCAGCATGAAGAGTAATTTCTATGGTCCTCTATTCTATAGTTTGAATGTTTTAATGTTATAGCTATTGCAAAAATAAAATTTAGTTACGGTGGTTTTGGTTTTGTACTGTCAACTTCACTAAATTCAATCACATCAAACAATAACAAATTAAGAAGAAAATTTTTGTTGCATTAATTATTAATAAAATTAATATTAACATTTTTATTAAAAATTTAGTTAGTTAAGTTTTAATTAAGTTTAGTAAAGTTTAGTTAGGTAAGTAAGTTAAGACAAGTTTAGGTAAGTAAGTTAGATTGATATCACGTCTGAAAGATATTCACTGGGGAATGCAAAACACCTCTTCGTGAGGGTCCTCGTAGCGTCGACTTATTTTCTTTTTCTTTTTGTCCAGGACACTACTGAACTTGAGATCATAATCATCCTGAAAGTCCACCACTCCCTCATCAGTGACGTTTACACGCAAATCACATACATCTATAATATTGGCAGACATTTGATTCAAAATAATATTTTTTGTTATTTCCGTTGCAAATCGAGATTTGTTAAAAACTTAAATTTTTGATTTCTTGACTTTGAAAAAGCATTTTTCGAGCTTTTTCACTTTTTATCTAAAAACAAAAGACTCTAAATAAATAATGGATTAAAGATATTAGTATTTACATACCTTCTATTTGGTACTTTTTGGGCATATAAGACTGGAGGCTGGAACTCGTTGTATTGCTTATATTATTCTTACAAAATTATTGAATATGGACAGTCGATATATATGAAATTGTGAATAAAAATTGTCTAAACTCAATATATTTTTTATTATTTCATGTATTTGATAACATTTCTTCAAGGGGAGGCCTATTTACCATTAAACAACACATTCTTATGGGTTGAAGCAGGAATATGCAAAGAATCTCAATTTTTGCAACTTTTAATTATTTTCGGTAATGTCGATTTTATTTGTTTAAATTTATACCAAATAAAAGTAATTAATTACCATATTGAATAACAATTTAAAAAAATAAAATTTTAACATTTTAAATAAAAGCAATATTCCGTAATTAGTAAATATACTATCGTAACTTTTGACTCGAACGATAAAAAATCACCCTCCATCTTCCCTCCAGAAGTAAGCTCCTTGTTCAACCGTTGAAAGTGAGCGAAGGCCGTTATATTTATTCTAGTTATATGTATCAAACAGTATCTTATTGAACAAAATAGTATCATAAAATGAATAAAGATACTTTTTTTTAATTTAAAAAATTCTCAATTTGATTTTATTGCGATATCTATGATGATGATGATTGTGACCTGACTAATTAAAAAACATCAAATAAAATTTATAAAATAGGATGGGTATATCGTTGAGAAATCGTTGGGAGAAATGACGTCATGTTAACAGTAGTTATTTCACTAGATGGTAGTTGATCAGCCTGTATAAAAGTTATATTCAATTCCTGTCAAATACATTTAACCAAATATCATACGCAGGCAAAAACTAAATAAAGAAATATATATATATATATATATATATATATATATATATATATATATATATATATATATATATATGTTGTATGTTGGTAATAGACCATAATTTTTACAATATTCTATAAATTTCAACGACAATTTTTGAAGTATGGCTTAGTTTTTTTTATTTTTCTCATTCATTTTATCACTATCTTTCAAATTATTCCTCCACTAATTGATTCATTCTATTCATTCATTAAATCATTCAGTTCATCATTTATTCGTTCGTTCCTTTGTTCCTTGATTTACTAAGCTAATAAAAATATCTTTTTACAGAATGATAAGAGGTGGGCTGTGGTGGGCGTCAGCATGTTTCAGATGGTGGTCTCATGATGATCGTTCCGATGACAATTTGAAGATAATATTAAAAGAAAATTTGTTCTTGTCTCATCGTACCATTGAAAGTACATTGAAAGTACATCTCAATAAGATAAGTACATTGAAAGTACATTGAAAGTACATTGAAAGTACATCTCAATAAGATAAGTACATTGAAAGTACATCTCAATAAGATAAGTACATTGAAAGTACATCTCAATAAGATAAGTTGCCGTTTTTTTCCAATGGCTTATTTTTTACTTTAAAGAATTTTTTTTTTCAATTTAGTGTTTTTCAGTATCCGGTCAAATTCGTTCCATCGGTGCGTGTCAGATGATGGTCGGTGTAATGGAGGTTCGTCGGTAGTGAGTGAAGAAGTTTTTGGAGAGTACACGCCCGCACATTTACACGCAAACATCAATAAAACACACACATACACAACATCCATTCATTCGGTGTCGTTGTTGTTTTTCTTCAACTTTCTATTTTTTTTACCTGACTTAATTTAATTCGTCGGTAAGTTAGGGATTGAGATGAGTTGAACAATCGTAGGTAGGCTCAGTGGCGGATCCATAGGGGGGGGGGCGATCGCCCCCCCCTACTGAAAAAAAAAATTTCTAGTCTATTTTTGTCAACTCTTTATTACTGTTTATAAGAAAGCATGCAATGTCATCAAAAACTTTCAACTTTTAATGTCATAAAATAATAAATGTAATGATTTGGATCAAACATAGTCAATATATACATATGAGTACATATATAAATATAAAAAAATTATTTTCTTTTTTTTTAATCCTATAAGTGTTTTAAAAAATGGGTTTATTTATTTTATTAGACTAGCGAGGTACCTACTACCTTGATAGGTTGACTAATAACAATTTATAAAACGAATTCTATTTTACGATTTCCTGACTTCGCAAAACGCTCAATTATATTTTCAACATTTACTAAAACGTCTCTGTGTACATTAAGTAGTGCCAATTCGACTAATCTGTCTTCTGTCATTCGTGTTCTTAGCCATGTTTTAATTCTTCGCAGAGTTGAGAAGCTACGTTCAGCACTGGCAACACTAACTGGACATGATTTAATAATACGGAACAACTTCTGAGTGATTGGATATTGTACGGGGTCACACAAATGAAAAACAACAGAAAGATCAGTAGTCAGTGATTTGACTCCTCCTCCGTCCTTGTTCATTCTAAAGCATTTGCTCTGCCACAATTCAACTTCCGATATAAATTCAAGTTGGGTACTAAGTCCAAGAATGGTACCATAGAAATTACTGATTGCTGAAACAGATTCGACAACATCTTTATGATTTAGTTTAATAATATTTTCTGGCATCAAAGAATAGATTTGGAGACATTGCAAATTTTCTTTAGAAAAACGAGTATTTATATCCAATATCAGTGCATCAAGAAGAGGGATGTAAACTGATCGCCTGTAATATTCTTCCAATGAATCAGAAGGTACATTTTCACGGCATGTCTGTCGATGCACAAATCTTTTGTAGGTAAAAGTGCCATCTTTTTCAATTATTATTTTTTCTGCTGCTCTAAAAATTTCCAAAAACATTTCTTCGCAGTTTTCTCTCTTTTTTGTAAAACATTTAACAGGTCTTTAATGCAATTTTTTGCATCATGTAAATTTAAACTTTTTTTTTGAAACAATTCACTGAGGCCCTTTGTTAGAGAGAATACATACACAGCACAGCCTAAGGACACAATAAAATCACTTTCTCTAATTGCTGTTAATAAAGTTGTTGCTTTTGATGAAGTTGTTCTGTCATTCCATTTAGATATATTCTTTAGCGCATCAATTATTTGTGGAAGTTCAATACTAAACATCAGCAATGCATCATGTCTCTCAACCCATCGTGTTTCGCAGAGTGAAACCAGTTGTGAATTTATCATGTTCTTTATTATAAAATTTCGTTTTGCAGAAGCATTGAAAAAAGCAACTACTTCACTAATAACACCCAAACAATTTCTTATTGCTTGTACATTCGAACTTTTTGATAAAGTTAAATTTAAAGCATGGTTATAACAAGGACACCAGACTGCATTCACTGCAACTTTTTGAATTTCAACTACTGCTCCTTTTTGTAACGAAGACATAACACTGCAACCATCTGTTCCCACACCAACACAGTTTTCTAGAGAAAGGTGGAACTTGTTTGAAAACATGTTTATAACCGATTAACCAATAATTTTGCCGTCAAGAATAGGTTCAGTGTCAATTGATGCAGTAATATCAGATTGGTAATTGTTGTCATGTAGATCAACAAATCCTGCAAAATCTTCTCGAACTGATCCATCAGACAGCAAGTAACGTAATATTATAGTCATTTGCGACTTATGTGATGCATTGGTTGTTTCGTCAATCATAATAGCATAATACTTTGATTCTCTAACGCGACTCAAAATTTGTTCACATATTTCCTCCCCACAGCATTTAATTAACGCATTTTGTGTGGTTTTGCTAATATAGGTTGCTGATGCTCTAGCCGTTTTTAAATGATTTTCTAAATTTGAATCTCCACTGCTTACTCTAAATTTTAGCAATTCTCGGAAATTACCTTCATTTTTAATCACATCAGAATCTTCATCATCTTTGTCTAATATACTGCCATCATCTCTGTGTCCTCTGAATGGAATACTCTGCCTTCCTAAAAATATAATTGTTTCCACAATAGGTATCAATCTCTGACGATTCTCTAAAACCTGCTGAAGCCGTTAAGCATTTCTCTGTTTACAATATTTATTGCTGGTTCATTACAGTTTTTTAAAAAACACCTCCCTGCTTCAACAGCTTCCTTGTGGTATGTTGCTTTGTCATGCATTGTTAAATCTCCATCTTTGCCAAACAGTTTAGCAAACACTTGTAATGGTTGTTTAACAAGCTTCTGAAGTTCCATTTGTTTGTGAGATCCTGCAGTCAGGTGTTATGAAAATAATGAGCAATATTTGCAGTACAATCCTTTTTTATTATCTGAATAAACTAGCCATTCATATTTTTCCAGATGAGAATGATTAAGATATCGCTTTTCTTGTTTATTTTTCTTCTTGTGAAGTGAATGTGGCATTTTGTAGTCAGCTGGTGGCTTCCATGGCGATTCTAACAGACTTTTTTTTGTCAAATCATCCATAAATGTTCTAGCAAATTTTCCAATATCATTGATAAACCCAGATTTAAAATCTTACTAGAAAATGCCTTAGCAATTTCAGCTGTTCCAGTCTCAGTTGAAATCTGTTCATTTTCAGAAAAAAGACTATCATGAGCTATGACTACTGAATTGACATTCATATTCCGGCTGTTGCTGTCCATATTATTACTTGTTTCTGTTATCTCATGTTCAACATGTTCAGTAGAAATACTATTACTTGTTGAAGCTTCTGCTGATGTGGTTGGAAGTGGAAGTTTAGTTGTTCCACCAACTTCATTAGTGACAGTAGAATTAGTTGTAGATGCTTCAACAGACTTTTTTCTCCAAAAATGAATCCAAAATACTCTGTGGTTGTAAAAAATTTGTTCTCTTCATTTTCTTCCGATGATAATGGTTTGTTGTAATTGTTCCTAATATTTTATAGTATTATAAACAATAATTAATGAATGTTTTAATTTAAAAGTAACTTGTATTTACTATTTTTGTCGTTTTTAAGTAACACAACACAATACACAACCATGGCGCTTGAAAACGAAAGTTAGACTGTTTAAAAGTGAATAGTGATATAAAATTAAAAAGTGCATATTTAAAAGGATTACTTAACACTACAATAA